GCGTTCCTTCCCAAAGGAGCTCCAGAGTTTTCCGAGTTTGTCCCATGTTTGCGACATTGTTCTGTTGTATGACCGACACCTTTACAGATTCTGCAAAATATTCTTTCTTCTTGTAATCTTTTAATTTTTTCACAGTTATCTATGTTATGTCCTGTTTCATTGCAACCTTCGTATGTGATTGAAATATTTTGAGGTGGATAATTTTTTAGTGCTTGTAGTTTCCTACATTCACTTGCTGTGTGACCTATATTTTTGCAATAAGCGCAGAATTTTTTTCTTTGATCATTGTTAAAATTGTTTCTGTAGCCGTTGTTGTGGTTTCTATTGTAGGTGTTATAGTTTTGCTGATTTTGCTGAGGGTTTGCAGATTGTTGTGTATTCGCGATTTTTCTGCAGAACTTTGCTGTGTGACCTAATTGATCACATAATTGGCACTTGTAACTTGATTTGTTTCTTTGTTCTGTGAAATATATTCGCGCTTCTTCACAATCTTGTTCTTCATGTCCCTGTTCTTGGCATAGGGTGCATATTCTATAAGGTGATCTATTTTTACCTGTTGTGCAAAATTTGATAGAGTGACCTTTTTTATTGCATTTTTTACAAAAGACCTCAGGGCATTCTTGCGTTGAATGACTTCCTTCTTCACAAATATCGCATTTGTTTATCTTTTGTGTGATCTTATTTTTACACTTAATGGCTTCATGTCCTGTTTCTCCACATTTCCAGCATTTTATGTAGTCGGCAATGTAGGGGCATTGACCTACCTCATGTCCTAATTCTTGACAGTATTGGCAATGGATATTTCTTCGTTTGTTCAGTGGGCAAGCGCTTATTGAGTGTCCTTTTTGGCTACAGTATTTGCATATCAAATTGATTTTGTCTACTGAATTTTTACAGTTATTGGAAAAGTGATCTGATCCTTTACAATAGACGCATGCTGCAGAATGGCAAAATAGCGCTTCGTGTTGGGGGTCATGGCAAATTTGACATATCATGATTTTTTTCGGTAGTTCAGGTCTATTATAATAATCATTGTATTCGACATATGTGTTATTAATTGTTACATTGTCTGTTGCTTTTCTAATATTTATGTCATTTTTAATTTCTATGGCTTTTTTGGACATTTCTTGTAATGTTGTCTCGTTGCCCAATTCGTATTTTATCTCCGTTCACATTCCTTTTTTAAAACATTTTGCTGCATCCGCATCTAATTCTTCGTAGAAATTCTTCCTGGCTATTTCATTTGTTACTTGTATTCTGTATATTTCCTTTATTTCTAATACTAATTGACATAATCTATTTGTGTATTGAATAACTGATTCTGTATTTCCTTGTGTTATTTTGCGTATCCTAGCACGCAGTTCGTGTATGTCTTCTTGAATTGGGTATAGACTTCGTATTGCTGTAATTAATTCGTCTATTGTTTCTACACAGCTGTTTCCTAAGGCTTCTTCTGCTTCTCCCTTCATTCTCACTTTCAGTAGTTCTACTACATTATGTTCATCTTGGTCATCTACTAAATTTTTTACTCGTCGTAATCTCCTGATGTACTTTGCGGGTGGCATATTTTTGCCATCGAAGTCCGGAACATAATTTACCAATTCCTTGAGTGATAATTTGATTGGGTGTGAATTTGCCATATTTATTGGGTTTGTTGCTGGACTTGTGATACGTTGGTTTCCTTGAATTTGTCTTTGAATTTGCTGAGTGTTTCTTTCACTCTCCTTTTCGTTTATGTATTGTGTTTTGTTTATTTTTCTAATGTCTTTTCTTGAGTCTTCGATGTTCTGCTGTTGGTTAATAGGTTCGTCAGAGTTTTTTGGTAATGCGTATTTTGTGTAGACAGATTCTTCGTTTGTGTTTATGCTGAATAATATATCTTTTGGTGTCCCTAATATTAGACTTTGTTCACCTAAAAATCCTCCAATGTCTGAATATCTATCGTGTTTTTCTGAGTCAAATGTGTCAAACGTCTGGTCTAATAGTGAATATTTGTCTGAATCAGTGTAGTCGGTTTTATTTGTTTGTTTTTCTGTTAAATCAACTAATTGGTCAACTGTTGGTATGATTTTCTTTATTGCTCCTGTGTTTTTCTCTTTTCTTACGATTTCTTCTTAGGTCTTGGTCTTAATCGGCGATCTTTGTAGCTTGTTACTCTTTTTGAAAGCTATCTCATCCAGTCCTTTTTCTAAAAGGTCTTCTAATTTTGGATTCTTGTCGATTTGTGATCGCGTAAGTTTCCTAATTATGGATGATGTGTCCTTCGTTGTGCTGGACTTCTTGCTCATTTATTGCACTTTCGTAATAAACGGAATAAATAAAGGGAATTCGACAAAATCAAAATAGAGTGAAGCAGGGAAAATATATAAAATAAGAAAAATTATTGTTAGCAAAAAAATTATGGTAGAAGTATATGGAAACACAATTACTTATTGAAATGGCAAAAATAATATAAAAAAGGGGACAAAGAAAAGAAAAAAGGAAATTCTATCTACGTATGGTATTTGACCTACTAGCTGAAAATTATTTCTCGGTCACTTATTCCTGCTGTTGTCTTAATTTCACAATTTTGCAAAATTGCAATTTTGAAATTCGGTCACTATGAAAGAAAGTGACGTGTGCTGTTTACTTCTATAATACAACACCTACTCGTATATCCGCGGTTTTCGAATTCTCTCTTTTTCGTTTAACGTGTTAATTCATTAATAAGAACTATGTATCAAAATAATTTTCTTAATCTCAATCGAATGTATTTTTCGTACCGGAACCAATTGTTACGTCTCGTGCATCAACTACGAATAGCTAATGAATGAGACGTTCTAATATGTTGACTAGTGGTTGGATATGTCTCACTTATAATAAATATATGTGGCAATGTATGTCTGATAATTGTACTACCTTGATAATCGTAGCTTTTAATTGTTGATAAAATGTAGCAGGCTCTAACTACTTGTTGGATTGTATGAGTGTAGCAGGCTCTAACTGCTTGTTGAATTGAATAAATGTAGCAGGCTCTAACTGCTTGTTGAATTGAATAGGATAGGTTGTTAAATAATACTTGCACGATATTACTTTGTAACAGTCGCGAGTTTATTAAGTAAAATGATCATCAATTGTCGGACCGGTGTGTACGGAGTTGAGTCTTACAGGTACTTATTGACTGACTGACGGACTACTGATCAACTGCTTAGAGTAATTTGTTCATTGCTTTTTATATCTTTTATAGCTCTTTTCAGGTCAGTATTGCGATATTGTGTGACATTTTGTTTTCGCTGATTATAAATTCTTGCGTTTTGGTGACTTAGTTTCGGAGTGTGTTTCGACAGCTTTTTGCTGTCGTGTGAATAGCTTAGCAGTTTTGAATGTGTATATGTTACAAAAAGGATGCGTCGTAAGACTTAATTTCGGAGAGTCATTTACCTCGCGTTTAGTTAGCTTTTTGCTGACGTGCGAATAGTTTTAGTAGCTTTGAATTTCGCAAATGTGCATTTTATAAAAAGGATGCGTCGTAAGACGTAACAATAATACTAGACGAGCTTCTAAATTTTCTTAATACTAGACAGCAAAAGATTTTTTTTTTCCAATGTTCAAATGATCAGAGCTCAGTAATTCAAAAATCATATCTTTCACACCAGAACAAGAATCACATTCTTAAAAATAACAAAACTAAATGGCAAACCTTTAGAGCGTGCAATTGAAAGCTCCACACTAATTTAATCGATGACATTGTTCAAAGCAATCAAAAGAAGTTCAAAATTAACACAATATATACATAAGCATACATTATTCAATGGATTGATTGAAACATACTTTAGATACATGGAATAATATTTATATTTCCTGATTTTTATTCTAGGGTTCTCTTCTTTCATTAGGACATGAATTTCTTTCATACTTTGTGTAAAGAAACGCTTTACTTTTTGATCATTATCCATCACCGTTATTACATTTGATTTAGTTGAACTTTGTTTAAAACAATTAAAATCGTCATTTAAAAATATTCTATGACTATATCTTTCGCTTTTGAATTTATTGAATATTCGTTGTATTCATCTGGCTTACGGTGAATTCATACATATTATGAATTCAAGCTCTCACGTGAATTAAACAGAATTAATTACACAGGCACACACACAAAAAGTGATTTGCTACAGATGTAATATGGCACACGTATATTCTCATGTATTTTGACAGGCTGAATCCAAATCCATAGTCAGTTTGAACCAAGCACTTCAGATTCAAGAGCATTTGAACGTCAAATTGGAAAAAAAAGTCGTTTAAAAGAATGTAACTAATGTTTCTATGGTTTTAAAGATTGTTGAATCTGAATCTAAAGTCTCTTTGATATCTTCATGTTCGAATCAAGATCATTTCAAGGTAAAATGTGCATATTACGCAAAAAGTTAAATTTTAACTACAAATTCTGAAAGAACAGAAAATTTTACGTTAAATGCAATACTATTTTTTTTTTTCATGAACTGAAATTACGATTGAAATTCGTAATTTTTACCTCATTTCAAGGTCACTATATGTTGATATTTTGTGACTTAGCATGGCAATGACGTAAATACAAAAGTATTCGTGGAACTAGGCAACTATTTTCATACGTTTCGAGGGTTACTGAATCAAATCCATGATTCTCTTGATAAAATTAAGTCTAGATCGAGATGCGTTTAAAATCAAATCAACGGAAAAGATATCTGGTTTAAAAAGTCATTCTCTCTCTCTTTTTACTGCTTTATGAAAAAAGAAGCATTTAAAAAGAAATAGAGTATTTATATAATAAAGAATACATAACATAATAAAGAAGGAGTCGAGGAGAAACCGGAAGGACTGGGGAAGAAGTCCTAAAAATATCGTAATAATAGTTTAAAACTGTAAAGCTGAGGTAGAGAGGTTTCAAACGCATCTTTACGACCATATAATATATACACGATTAGTTTTTTTAAAGTAACTCACAGAAGGGGCTTTAATATGTCTGAAAAATTATTCTCACTTACTAGGTTCCATGGAAATGGCTTCTGTAACTTTTTCTTTTATTATTCTGCAAGTGTCATATACTGATGTAGCTGGATTGAATTGCATCATTTTTGTTACGTTCTTTTCCGGTATCGATATTCGTAACGATAGAGTAGCCATGGTAGTTTTCCACGTTTATTTTTTGATCTTATACTGGATTTACTAGAATTGAAAAAAAAATTTCATAAATAATATATACACAAACGTATGTTGATATTAGATTAAAAATGAACATCATATTTCAAACATTTAATTCACTTCTTATGAATCATTTGCTAATTTTATTCTTGTACTTGAATGAACCAGTAGAGTAAATAATATGTTTTTGATTAAATAAATGATTTATCCAAAAACTTCTTTACGTACAAATCTCTAACTGTGCCACTCCAATTTTTTTGCTACAAGGTAAGATTTCACCTGTCTGCTTAAAAGATTAAAAATAAATTAAAGTTAGAATCTATTCCGCATACTATTAACCAGATTTCTCCACTTTCAGTATTTACTATATTACAATCACCAAATTTAATGAAATCTTGGGAAAACACTCTTTGTTAAAAATAATATATGCCAAAAAATATATCCAGTCTGCAAAAAATTAATAAAGAATTCACTAAACCAAAGTTGAAATGTTGCTATTGGTAAAAAGCATAAAATATTAATTTATTTAAATGATCACATGGCATCTCGCGCAGTAAATTGTGGGATATAAAAAAAATAGAATCACAAAGTACCTCAAAAAAATCAATATACTGTTAATGTAACGGGGGAGGTTATCTGAAAAATGGGAAATTTATTTAAGAACAAACTCCCACGATGCAGAGCAAACCGCCGCTCCGTTAAACACGTATGATAGTACGTGTATTCGCCTTAACGTCAGATGATTTATCCTAGTTGTCTTCTATCAAACGGAGTTGAACTCACATTAAGTCACGTGTCTTGTGACACTTGATGAGTTTTAAGTGTGAGCGACTTTACTCCTAATCTTCTTAATCCCCTAGAAGTAATCAGATTAAAACCTAAGCCTTTTTCAATTACTTAAGCTACTAGGAAAATTAAATGACGAAAACGGCGACAAAATTTAACAGACTTTAATTAATAAAAATCACTACAGTCTTTGTAGGGCCGAAAGACGTACGCGAATAGGATTTTACAATTAACTATGTTCGGTTTCGGTGAGAAAGAGCGAGAGAGAGAAGATTAGAATTCTACCGTGAACTAACGCTCGACGCAAATACAAAAAATAACGCTAACACGATTAGACAAAATACCGAATGTATTTTGAATCGCATATAATGACGGAAGGTGCACCTACCATGCGGTGCAATTACGGTGATCAGCCGTAATTATTAATGCAAAATTATCAACTGCCGCTGCCCCTCGATTAATCAGCTGCGCTACCTCGATCTGCCTTTATCTGCTGCAATTTGCTGCTTCTACACCGCTGCTTGCTGTTGCAATACTGTCGTTGCACACTTGCACGTAATTGTCTCAAGGAAACTTTCTTTTGGAGTAACTAAGTGCGAAAAACAAATCGGCGGTAAACTCGCGTGAGCAGCTGAGTGGTAACTGCTTATTCAAAAGATCGCGTGCTCCCTCTCTCTCTCTTAATTGTTAGAACTAACGCGTGAGAAGCAGAATCGCGAACGGATCGATTAATTAAATCGACTACCGTTGCACTAAGTATAATATATTATACTACATATCTAATACTGCTATAAAAATTCAGCACCGAATCAAAAGATCTATTCGTATTCTAAATTAGAAATTTTTTATTTCAGAAACTTTTAAAACTATTCTAACATTATGTTTAATCTGTCTTACTATGTGTCAACTGGTGATTGATAAAATCTCGTATAAATAAATATTGTAACGGGACTTTCGCTCGAGGTATTTCGAATAGAAGCCGAAACAAAAATTAGTTATTATTCGCGGATGATTATATGTAGCGAGCGTTATCGCTATCCTGTACAACCTTATGCTCCTGCATGAGCCCGTCCAGGGTCCAGCTGCTTCAGGTTACCTCTTTCGTCAAGAGAGAGAAATCGGTCCGCGGAGAGTATTGTGAACTACGCGAAAATCAATCAGTGAATAACCGAGAGGGAACGGAGCGTGAATCAATAATGTAACTGACTATTATAAATAGAGCGGGAGTGGTTATGCTAATAACTCGGCATAAATTTCAGATAAACAGTAGTTTATATTAGGAAGAGGGAAGTTAATACAAATTTTAGAGTTGTGGAACGCAAATCGAGCAGCGTACTTGTGTCACATAGAACAGTGCAACACAAACACTCATAGACATGCACCCGAGATAAACGAGTATAGTGCACGAACCACGTGAGTGAACCGGATGCGAGTTCACGCCACATTATGAGCCGCCGCCGATAGAAAGCGAACCAGCGCGTCGTATACAAATCTGTAAGTTGGCACGCTTACTCATTCGCAGGCGAACGACAATTGGCGCGACAAAGCACTAATACGTGGCACAAATAACTGATAACATGCGCCCAACGCACTAGACGCAGTAGTAAGCGGATCAAACCAAAAATTATACAAGGCGAGCGTGAAGAGAGAGAGCGTAAAAAAGAGAGAAAACCAAATGACGAGCTAGTACTTCAGTGCTGATCGCTCGTTTAATCCTTCAAGATTCGGTAACGCACTCGCTTCACGGATCTTCCGTATCCGCTTCTCACTAGTAGGCGATCGTCTTAAATTTCTCGCTCGGGTTCTAGTTTATCGCTGCTGATCCTGCTAGTCGTGCACATAGCTGTCTACTTTTCTCCTTGCTACAATTCTTCGTGTAGCACTCGATCGTTCGTCCTCACCAGGTGTGCACTGGTTGCCGGTTTGAAGCTAATTGTTCTGATCGCGTCTATTCTCTCTCTCCTCTCAATAATAATCGCATCTCTGCGAGGTCCGTATCGCGCGCTTACTATCGACTATCGAAGGATTGATGCGTCACTTATCGGTTCGCTGACATCTGCGTTGCAAACATCTCATATAAACAAATACATATCAATATTACAAATATATTTATTACTGGCTTTGTGGAGTGAGAAAGACATAACGAACTACAAGCCGTTCGTTATGATATTTGTACATAAAATTATTACAAAAATTTCCATATTACACCAAAAATAATAGTAGGTTTGGATAACTGCTTCTTTTTATTCTATTTAAGTTCATTCACTATATTTAATTTGTTTATTGATTTATATACTGTGTTTGTAAATTTTTGCATATATTTTTTTAAGGAGGTACATTTCCTCGCTTGAAATTTCCGTTATAATATTAACGTTTTAATTTGTTGCGCCATTAAAATATAAAATTGATGGTTTATGATTCTAAGGTTATAATTTTTCATTAACACCTTGTGAGGTGACGGTTTTCTAACTTTCTGTGCTCACAAAGTGGTAACCGCAAATATTATATTTAATTAATCAGAAATACCGTTTCTTGAGTTGAATTCATTATTGTCGTTATTTGTTACCTAACTTATTCCAATGGGGTTGAAAATAAGGGATGTAAATATGGAGGGATATAAATAGGGGTAAAAAGAATAATTTTTCAGTTTTTTTTTGAGTTTTTATAGTCTGTCAATCAAATATATTAATATGTTCAATGAAATAAAGTTTCAATTAGTATGTTCAATGAAATAAAGTTTTAGTTCAATAATAAAGTTTTAATTAAAATTAAAAATTAAAAATTTTGTTAATAATAATTATTACACATTAGTTTTCCTAGAATCAAATATATTTTAACTCAACCTGAGGTTTGAACTCTTAAATTGAAGAAACCGTAAAACATCGAAATCAAAAATAACAATTTTTTTCATGAAAATCTAAGAAATCACCACACCTTTAACCACTACTTTCTACCCTTTAGGAAGTCCGTTGGCTAGAAATAACAACAGAGATGGAATCAGAGACTCCAAGAAAAATTTATATACAGAATTTGATGATGTTCCAACAAGTAATACTAAAATTATTTCGATTAGTACATATATGATCTACTGCCACTCAAGGGGTTAATAGTCAAAATATTAACTAGTGTGACGGTAAACGTCAAATTAGCGCTGATAACCTAACTTAATTGCTGCCTGGGAGGGCAACACCTACCGGGGGGACGAAATACGTAACGAAGGAATTCGGCGCGCGGGCAGACGGAACGCGCGCGATTGAAACCGAACCAGTGAAGCACTGACCATCATTGCGTTCGCCCGCTTTTGTTTTCGCTATCGCCGATCCACGTGCCGTTAACCCTAATACAATAAGGGAGGAACATTCAGCCCAGTGCCAGGACAGTAACCGCCGTTGACGTGGTGCCATACGTCTACAGAGGGAAGGGACACGAGCCGCCGAAGGAGAGTGTGTGAGGTTTCGCCATCGAGGGCGAAACCGCGTGTGCGCGAATTCGCGACCTGCGAAAATAAACAAAACAGTTCCGCGCAGTGCGACTATTTATCGTCCGCTCCGTACGCCTGCAATAATAAGGTAAGCTGGCCAGCTTAATCTCGCGATCGCGGTTGCATGTTTAATAATTAATTTCCGACATTCGAAGCGTGCATGTAGCGGCTCTAATAACAAAGAGCAGCGAGCGTCCCGACAATACGTGTTGTCGATGAGCGAGCGTCGATGTAAACAAACGCGCGGGCCGACCTTATGTAGTATTTGAGTAATAATAAAAGGTTCTGTTCGTGTTACTAACAAGTGTTTTTCGACTCGCTTACTTCTTTTGCTTCCACTCACTTTCTTATAGGTTAATTAGAATTACTGGTTGACTGACGCCTGTCTCCGCATGCTCTCCGGACTACATTTTGAGCATAGATTATTACGTTCGCCCTTTCAACAAAGTCGCGCGAATAAAAATATAATTAAACGGTCCTACCCCGTTACACTAGAACAAATAAAATTTTCTCGCTCACGGTTTTTCTGTTATGTTGTATATTTTTTTGTTATCAAAATAATATAAATATATTGTATTATGTGTTTAAAACTGGATTTTTCAATATTACATATAATATAATTATAATACTGTACCGATTCAGTCTAATTTGTTCTTTTCTTTCAGTGTGTGTGTGTGTGCATGTTTTGTGTGTATGTGTGAGTATGTAGATGTGTTTGCGAGCCTTGTGTTTCTACCTTCTGTTTCCGTCTGTCCTT